TAACTAATTTTAATTAATTAATTAAAATTTATATTTATATTTTTAATAAAAATTAATTATAAAAAATATATTATTATATATTTATTTTATTTTTTAAAAACATAAGATAAGATAAAAATTTTAAATTTTTTATTAAAAAAACTGATCCTTCTGACTCCATTAATAGCTGTCATGTCCTGATGTCTAGAGAAGGTTTCAAGAACAGAAGCAGTTGGGCAAAGAAGCAATTTTTAGTGGTTTTCATTTGTTTGGCTGAAAAATGGTATAGATTGAGTGTTTAGATGCTGAGAAAATGTTTTGAATTTATTTGGTTGCTGAGATTGATTACTGAGAAACTATAATGTTTGTTAAAGAAAAAAAAAAAGAAAATTTGATGAGAAAATGGTGATTTAATTATAAATTAATTTAGAATTTTAATTTTGATTAATATAAATAATTATAATTTAATGATAATTAATTAATAAAATTTGATTTGATATTATTTTTTATTCGAATAAATATTTAATTTAATTTGTTATATTATTAAAAAATGTAAAAAAATCACTTAATATGTCATGTCATCAAAAGATATCTTTCTTTATTAGTGAAGTGGGATCCATTTGAATGGATTTGGCACACGGTAATATAAAATGTTAAAATGTTTGTCCATATCATCACTTTGCTCTCCACATCATCAAAAAAAATATAAAAAATATCACATAAGCGGAGTTAATGACTCAAATTAACAGAAGGACTAACGGAGTGCATTTTTTGTAGTTGAGGGATCAAAAAAGTGAAAAAAATTATTGAGGGATAAAAAATGTGCATTTCTTAAAGTTGAAAGACACAATTTAGCATTTAACCTTTATTGTACAACTTGAAAATTACAAGATATATATATGTCTTAAAAGTAAAAATTTATTGATTTAGTTGTAACTTTATAAGCATAAGGGAGAAGTAAGAAAGGTTATTATGAGAGTTTTCCTTTCATCGATTGAATAACTCAATGTTTTTCCTTTTGGAAAAAATTAAAACAAAAATCTTTTTACTTTAAAATTCCTCAAATCAAAACCCTTTTATTTTAAATTCATTAACCTTACGTATATATGAGAAAAGTTCTCAATTCTTCTTGGTAAAAGATTTTACAGAAAAGAAAATTGTTGTCAAGTAAAAGATGGTCGTGGTTTACACAAGTACCGCAGTAGATTGAGAGTTGAGATCATCAAACAAGGAGGAAGCAAGTTTTTAATTAACCTTTGTGAGTCGTGACTTGAAATCACGAAATGTTAAAGTGCGTTTAAGTTTTTGGAAGTTGCCATGATAAGGTTCTGAAACCAGTCATAAAAGTTTTGGGACCGAAAAGCATATCACGCAATTTAAGCTTGGAAAGTTTCAGAACTATTAACAAAGTACTCTAACTTATTGATTTTTAATACAAACAATAAAAGAGACAATGAGTAAAAATGTTCCGGAATATTTCAGAAGGTTTCGGAACCTGGAACCAGAATCCATTATTGATGCAGTGTGCTTTTGAACTTTTTTTTTTTTTTAATTATCAAATTGAAAAAAGTA